GCTGGGTGGGGGCGTGAGCGGCTTGGGAGCGGGGGCGGCTGCGGGTCACTCTGGCGTTCCTGGGGGCGCGCAAGGGGGTGCAATCCATCTCTTCGTGTGGCTGAGAGCTGTGAAGGCTCGACCCTCAACGGAACCCATATCACAGAAGCCGGTGCCACGCAGGCGCTCAAGCGCACGTGCACACACACACACACACATACACAAACACACACATACACACACACATACACACACACACACTCGCACACGCGCGCGCATGCATGCACATACACGCGCATGCGCGTGCCCGTGCGCACCTTGTCCACGACCGCCAGCAGTGACGTGAGGCTCCTGGTGGTGTGGTTGAGGATCCTCTGGCTGTAGAAATCGGGCAGCAGCCGGATGCAGGGCAGGGCGTCCACCTCAGCGCGTCCGGGGCCCTGGGCGCGCGTCAGCACGGGCGGCAGGGGCCAAGCAAGAGAGGGGGAACAGGTGACCAGACGGTTGCCACGGCTGCAGTTGTACAGTGGAATGCAGCTGGGCGGTGCGATCTGCACGTTTGGCGCTGTAGAGGGCCGCCTGCTGCGCTCTGCCTCGGGTCGCGGATGCGAAAAGACACGCAACGGGGGGCCTATGCGTCTGAAAACAGCAATCGCAGCACGTGCTGCTGCTGCCGCCGCTGGCGAAATTCTTCTACTTGACCGCCTGGAAAGCTTCTGTGCTGCAGCCGGCGCGCCGCGCAGCTCGGCACAGCACAGGGCCGCCCCGCACCTGCAGCCCGGCGTCGCCCAGCGTGCTGAGCGCCTCCAGCCAGGCCTTGACGCAGCACAGCAGCAGCACGATCATGTCCGCCACGCCCTGCGCCAGCGCCTGCGCGGCCGCCGCGTCCGCGGCGCTGATGCGGGCGAGCAGGTCCGCGTCGCGCTTGTCTTGCAGGACGTGCTTCAGCTGCGGCCGAGGGCGGCGGCGAGGGCGACGGTCAGTGCGGCTGTTGGTGCGGGGTTTCAGAGGCGGCTGGCTGGCGTCCCTCGACTCGCGTGTCGGCCCCTCCCTTGTCCCGCTCCCACTATCTCAGGCCGCACGCTGTTCCCGCCCTGGACTTTTGCAATCTTGCAACAGCCAAGGAGCCGCACCTCCTGGACCATGTCGGCCGCACAGGTGGCGCCCGGGAACACAATGTGGCAGAAGACCAGCCGCATGCGCACGTCCACGGTCAGCGCCTGCGGGGTGGATTGGCGGGTGGGGGTTTGGGGTGGGTGAAGGACAGCACAGGGGAGGGGGGCCGGCAGTTCGCTGTACAC